CCTTTATGCTTCTCTTGCTCTTCTTTAGGCAATTTGTCTATTCACCCAATAATTTATCCTGCTCATTTCTGGCATGAAAGAGAAAGAAATCAAGGATTTTTGAAACTTTTCAAATATAGGAAAGCTGCCACGTGGAACTAAAGTAAGGTGTTTGCAATTCGCTTGAAGAGGTACAGCTAGAATCAACATACAGCAGCTAGTGGGAGACAGATTTCAGCCCAAAGGGAGGAGGAATTTTTAGCAAGTGGAGCTTTCCAAGGACAGAATGGTTTATTTCTGCAAGTGCTAAGTTCCCCACTGAGTGTGGTTAGTCAAACAGGCTGACAAACCTCTTTGCAGATGTGTCGGAGGGGAGCTGGGCATTGCAGGGTAAGGACCCTCCATGCTTCTCCAACACTGAGGCTCTCCTAGTTTGCAGTCTGCTTTTCTTGCCGTCTACAGAATGTGCCCGCTTTACTCCCCATGTGGGAAGTGTGATCTAGTTAGATTAACCCAAGAAGTCTAATTTTGGTTTGGTTTAAACATTATCTGTAACACGGGAACTATATACACGTTACCTGTATGAATATATTCTAACAGCCTCAGATATTCTTGTAGGAATGTAACCTGTGGAAGTTTTGATAGTAAAATGCAGCGTTGCTGGAAGGTAACTAACTGGAGGCAGGGACCTGATTGCCCTGTCAGACCCTGGCTCTACCGCTTCCTAGGTTTCAAAGCTGTAGGCATCAATTAACCTCTGAGCTTCAGGAGCTGTATCTCTAAAATGGGGCTAATGCCATTCTTATGAGATTATTGATAGTGGATGACAAAAATAACACCAATGAAAATGTCTAGAGTAGTGACTAGAGTGTCCTAAGTTTCAAGAAATAATAGTTGAATCTAAATAGGAACTAGAATGAGAGAATTTCAGGGTAAAGTTATTCTCAGTCAAGGGTGGGCAACCTTTTTTCTGTCAAGGGCCATTTGGATATAACATCACTCACTGGCCATACAAAATTATCAGTTTAAAAATTAGCCAGCTATATTTGGTCAAACATTTAATTAACTCACTCCTAATGTGATGGCTAGAACGGCTTCTCTTTGGTGAGGCCTAGGCAGGGCCAGACCAAAGGATTTTGGGGGTCACATACGACCCACAGGCTGGACATTCCCCACCCCTGTTCTAAATAATCACCTTAAACAATAATCTGTTGACGATAGGACATAACGATGTAATGATTGATGTTTCCTATCAACGTTGACCTTCATTTGTTCTTAATTTTATGTGTTCACTCTCGTTTCTGTAAAAACCTTTATGTATTACACTTTCTCTTTGCTGTCACCATAAAAGTAATTTCATTCTGTTAAAGTCCTTCAACTGATTGAGTTACTCAGATTTTGTGCTAACTTTATGCATCTTTCTAGCCTAGGTTTAGTATGTTAACTAAAAGAGAAATAAGGAGCTACAAGAAGGGGGAGGGGAAGACTATACTTTCCAAGGAGTGTATTTTGCAAACATGTTACTGGAAGCTTCGGTGGGAGAATGTTGGGTAAACATAATGACCTTCTCTTCTGCTCAGGATCTGAGTAAAAGCTCTTTGTGGAATTCCTGGAGCACCAACTTCAGTAGAAACTCCCTGTGAGTATTTCTAAATGCCTTTAGCATCTTTGGCTTCTGTTTCTATTTTTAACCTGATTGGGAACACATGCTTAATTTGGTCAGAAAAGGAGAAAAAATAGTGTTTGTCCAATGACAGTATTTTTCTTTTGTTAGCAAGAAATGAAAATCCTTTATTCTCCCAAGTTTTCTTGTTTCTGGCAACAAGATCTCATCTCAGTACCTTTAAGAATGTAATGTAGCACCTGCTTCTACAGCAAATTAACCATTTGTCTTTTCCATGTCAGGAAAGTGCACATGGAATAATGAATATCGTATCTTTTCTGACAGATAAGATTGTGAAATTTGTACGAAAGAGTAGAAATGAAGCTGTCTTGCCTAAAGAAAAGACTGAGACTAAAGACCTGATTATATATTTTTTTCTTTAGTCTTAAAAATAATTCTTGTTTACAATTTTTTCTTTTTGTTTATGAGGTGGACCTTTTTTATTTTTGGTTCTCATCAACACCCTAAGTGTTTGACAAGACAATAACTCTTTGAGAAGTATGGAGACAGAGAGAGAGAGAAAGGGAGCGAGACAGACAGCTAGGAGATAGAGATCTCACATGGTTGCAGACCTGAGTATCCTGGAATTTTATTTGTTCAGAGAAATAAAATTTTAAAATCAAACGAGCAAAGATTATTCTATTTTGTTTGTAGTGTTTTCTGGACTTTTCTAGTTATATTATCACACTGACTGTTCATACAGCCATAGAAGCAGACTTCAGTGCCATCTATGCCACAAAGGGCCAGCTGGTACCAAGCAGGTGGAATGTGACTTTCAGTTTGCAGTCAGCTCCATCAGAGGTGACCTTTTTCACTGGAGCTCCCGTCGAGGTCTCTCTGTGCAAGCCGGCCTCTAGACTTAAAGCACATGTGACTTTCTTCTCCCAAAGGTTCAGTAGCTTGTGCTCATGCAGAGTAGTGGGTTATTGCAGCATGAAATTAAACAATAATTGTAATTGTACTTTTTTCCCCCAAGGACCTTAAATACTGGAGATATTCTTTGAATGCATTTACTCAGACTTGCCCATGGCCACTTGTGCACTTGAGCAGGGCAAGTAGCAATTTAAAGAGAGCTAATTTCAGCCTGTGAACATTGAGGGGCCGCATGGGCTAATGAAACTGATTTGTAGGCTTGTCTGGAGACATTCACAGACTCATTTGTAGGCATCTGCTTTGCATAGTTCAGGAACCCGTTAGTTCAGTTGATCCAGAACAACACAAACACAGTTAAATCTTATATATGTTGTGTGATTATATAGCTAATTAAAACCCAAAACCAACAACTGCTTTTCAGTTAGCTTGAGTGATACATAGTAGATAAGTTTCATGCATATCTGGTGCTCATTTTTCTATGAAAACAATTGTAAACAATTTCTCTATTGATAAAGATAGGGGTCAAAGGCTAACTGATACTTTTCTTTCAATGAACTATATACACACATACATGCATATATATAGGTATAGACTATTGTTGCTGTTTCACATCTTTTCCCCTTCTTTGTTCACTGGAAAGTGTGAAGCACTATCTCAACAACTTTAATTTTTCAACAGGTTGAGAAGTTCAACTGGAGTCAGCAGTAAGTTTTTATATTTAAACATTTTATTTTTATTTTTTCATCTTAGTAATAATAAGGTTTACTCTTCCGTTGATATTTTCGTAGTTCTTAAAATTCTATCTATGACTTTTATCTACTATGCAAAGTAGAAGGTTCAGCAGAAAAGTGGAAAGTTAATGTCTTTCTCCAGATAAATCAGGAGTGATATCTGGTTTAAAATCTTTTGAGTTGTCTGTTTTTCACTGTGATTTTCCAGTTTTCTCTGTGAGTGAGGCTGTAACCACTGAGCTCATGTAGGCTGTTGAACCACTCTTACTGTCACTTTTTCACATATTGCTCATTGAGAGCCATTCAGAAGATTATATGTGGATACCGTTTCCTGTATGTTTTCAGTAGGACTCTGACCCAATGGCTACATCAGGCTAAGTCATGTGAGACAAGTCCCTGGTGAAGCCACTCTCAGCAGCAAATCTTAAACTTTACCACACTGCGACCTCTTTTCCATATTCTTGACCCCTTGATGCAGATTGGGTACCTTTCTCTTCTACGTTCTTGTTTCACTCTAATTATTGGGGCTCACTACCCCCTTTGCAGTCCATTCCTTCTCTTCCACCTACAAACAAATTTAAGTCATTTTCTATACAAAATAAAAAAAAATAATCTTTTTCTTGATTTTACCTAGCTTTCAAACTGCCACGTCTTTCCCTCACCTCCAGATTGACTGAGACAGTATTAAGATCTGCTCGTCAGCTCAGGGCGTCTGTCCCCACTACTCTGCTGGAACTCCAGCTCTAACCGCTAGGTCACACGACCTCTTCTTAGTACTCATCAAACTTGTGGCATTTGACATTGGCCATTCTATCCATTTTCTAAGTTTCCGCGAGGCTGTTCTTCCTGGCTGTTCTTCTCTTTCTTTGTTGACTGACCCTTGGTCTCTCTGACAGCCTCCCCTTCCTTCACCCAAGCTGGAAGTTTTAGGCGTGGACAGTGTCCTTCCCACACCACTGCTCTTAGCTGTCAGCTTCGCCTTCTGACCGTTACCTCCACCCGGTCTTTAGAAGCTGTCTGTTTTTGCTCTGCCCCACCACTCCTGCCTTCAAGCCTCCAACATTTTTTTTTCCAAAATAAAAAGTGTGTACTTTCTTTTGCCCTTGATATTGTGTTAGCATTGTGGTTGTTTTCTCTCCCTTTCAACTTGCCCACGTTCCTGTCTTTCTGAGCGATAAGTCATCACTTATGTGGAAACCTTCACTGTCTGTCTTTCCCTTACCTACAGGGTAGGCTGCAGATTGCTTAGTCTTTCTCGTGATCCTGACAGCCAGCCCCAGACCAAATTTCCAGGCTCATGCTCATGAGCCCTTTCCTTCAATAATTCTGCCATGCATAGTATGAGCGCACACACCTATGAACACCTCCATGTGGTGTCCCGAAGGCACCTCACAAAATGTTCCCCCTTTTTCCTCCAGCTGAGGAAATGGCAATTCCATCCATCTAATTGCTGAGGCCAAAGTCTTGTAATCATACTTATCTCCCATTTTCTCACATCTCCAGGTCTAACCCATTGTAAGTCCTTCAAAATATATCAAGAATCCGATCACATTGCTACCTCTACATACCACTCTTCATCTCTTCCCTGGATTACAGGATGGCTTCCGAACCAATGCTCTCTGTCTGTTTCCAGAGAGCAGCCAGAATAACCCTTCTAAACTGCAAGTCAAATCGAGTCCCTCTTTTTTTCACATGGTGTTTCATCTCACCCTGTAAAAGCAAAATCCAAACAGTCTACAAGGGCCTATTGATCTGTTCCCCCTCCTCCAACTCTCCAACCTCATTTCTTCTCAGCACAGTCCACTGTGGCTAACCCTCCTCCTTAACACAGCAGCATGGGCCTGCCTCAGGGCATTTGCACTTGCTGTGACCTCTGCCTGGAATGCTTTTCATTTATCCATATAATTCTCCTCCTCTCTTTCCTTTAGGTCTATGCTCAAATTTCACCTTATCAAAGAGGCCTACGTAAAATAGTAAAATCCCTATCACCCACACTTCCTAACCCTTTTAACTTGATATATATGTAATACACTATATACATTATATGTTTACTTATTTGTTTATTTTCTATTTCCCTTTACTAGGATGTAGCTAGAGACTTTATCTGTGTTCATTAATACTATTTCTCTTGAGCATAGACCAGTGTCTGGTCATAGTAAGTGTCCAATAAATATGTATTGAATCAATGCACACGAGCTCTCACAGCTCCTTGAGTGGTAAAGCCAGGATTGAAACTCAGCTTTATCAGACTTAGATACCCGTGCTCCTTAAAGTATTTCACATTTTTTGCCTATGAAAGTTCCATAAGCTGCTGTATACACTTCTGTTGTATAACTTAGCAAACTGTATTGTGATTATAGTCACCATGTCTTTCTCTAGGGTGGGAGACACATCTTGTTCACATCCGTCACACCTAGCATGATCTGTAGTGGGAACTGAATATATATTTTTTAAATTATTATTATTAAATGAACTTGGAAAGAAAGTCTGTTCTGCTGATTCTACTTTTTACCAAGCACCCCCAAAGGAGGGGATTTTTGTTCCCTTCCTTACCCAGCAACAAGGAGCCGAGGGATCTATGAAACTGGGCTCATTAGGCTGCTGCTCTTAGGTATACAGCAGTTACCACCATGAGACTGGGGTTCTTCACTTTAATTTTGATTTTATGAAATGGCAAAACTGTTGTAAAGGATTTCTCCGGAGCCTTGTAATTTAGAACTTGAGCGCGGAATGGAGAACCAGTTAAAGTTGCGGGAGGTCTTCCCAGCACACAGTCCTTCTGTAACCAAACAGATCCCCGGTGTCGTATTCTCCACCCACTCCTTTGTTTCTGGTACATAGCTCTTAATGCATTTTCATCATTTGTTGTCATTTTAGGTCAGTGAAGTAGTCCGCTAATAACTTGATATTAATAATGTCTTTATATGGGTACTGCATCTTGGTGGGGAGCTCAGAGAATTGTGCTTCTGGGATGTCGTGAAGTGTGATGGGCAGCTGAGTGCCTTCTGCGACCCAGAGGTGTAATTGGTTCAGAGGAAATAGATCTTTGAGGCTAATATTACCTGTCTTTCTTCAATTCCCTATATAAATATGTTTGGAGATATTGCATTGATGATTGGAAGCTGTCAGGATACCATGCACAATAATGCTGTTAAAGGATATTAGGCAATCTTTTTCGAATACTGAGAAGCCATTCTGATTAACCTGCTCAATAATAACTTTGAAGGCAATATATTCAGGAGCATGTATTTATCTCCAGCCAACTAATTAAAATGCCAATCTTCTCTATAATTTCAGAAATCTCAGCCTCCTTAAAAAGCCCTCAAGAGCCTCACCATCATTATTCAGGTAAGATGCATGTGCACATAGACATGTCAACTGAGCTAAACACCTGTGATTCTGCATTTGTAAACAGAAACGTTGATGAATTCCTAGCATCGGTATGGCTCTCAACTTGAAAAGTTGTTGTTTGCTCTGATGAGAAGAACATTTATATTTTTACCTTGCCATTGACTTGGGAAGACAAGATGTAAGAGAATTTGTATTTTAAAAAAAGTTTGTATTGGCAGGCTCATATTGTGAAGGGGAAAGATGACCTTGAGATTGAAAAGCCAGCCTAAAGGCAGAGATCTCTAAATTTTGGATTAGGGAAGAGATAGGCCTGAGACTAGTTCTTTGAGGGGGGTTTTGTACCCTCACCAGGCCCTCAGTGAATGTGACCACTGAATGAATGCCAACCCCACAGAGTAAGTTTAACAAACACACTTTACAAGGATGTTATTAAACAAGGTCGTCAAGGGTCTTGACTCTTAAGGAACATAACTTCACAGAGCTTCAGTTGTCTTTCTTTCAAAGTGGGAGTCATTGTCCTGGCCCTTCCCGAGGAACAGTCTGCCAATGGGCTAGTTGGGAATTAAGAAGGAAACACTGAAATGCAAAGCAATGTTAACAACCAGTGGGACTTGTGCCATTGGGTGGTCTTTTGGGCATCATTGCTTGCAGCATTGGGTGAGATAATAATACACAGGCAAGCTTTTTACACAATCTAAAGCTTGGTACATGAGTAAGAGTTTAATAGTGTGGTAATTACCATTATTACTATTACTATGTCAAGGCCTTGTGTTTGGGGTCCAGTAACAGCCTGTCTTGCCCCGAATTCTCCTCTTTGGTGAATAGTGCTTTAGTGGATTCCAGACTCCACATTCCAGGCTCTTATAGCTGGTCTTTCAGCTCAGCTCTAATCCATTATTTTGACTCTAGCTGTCAACTTAAAAAAGTCTCTTGTGAGGAATGCCGTAACTCATATTAACTGTGATCTGTTAGGATACAGCTCTTAACAGGAAAATGCAGATCACTTGCTTCTAATTAAAATTGGTCTCCAGCTCTCTTTGGGAAAAGAAGGTGAACTGTGCAAAGTCAACAGTAGATGTCCCCACAGTCCACCGTGCATTAGATTTGCTTTGGAAAAGAAAAACCAGGGAATAAAAATCACAGATTAAAATGCACTTTAAAAGAAAGTTTCATGTATATCTGAACAGGTATGTGATTTGGTATGCAGGAGGGTGGAGGGGATAGCTCTACCTCAGACCATGTTATATAATCTCATATCATCTGTTCCTAAGATGGGGATATCCTGTTTAAGGCATACTTTATTTTAAGTACTGTATAATATTTTTGATAGAGGTAAAAGTTAGGAGTCTTTGAAATGAAGTATTTTGGTATTATATGAATATATTGATGTGGGGAGGCTCGCTGTGGATTCAGCCCACTGATGCATACTTAAAACAGTAAGTCTGTCTTTGTTTGCAGCCATTGAAAGGAATAATTTAATGAGGCTTTCTCAGACTATACCATTTACACCCATCCAACTGTTTGGTAAGTGCCATTTCTACCTTTTTGAGGCTGTGCCAAGGGTGGAGGCATAATGTATGAGTAAATCAAAGGGGAAACCACTTTGCATCACTTAAGATGAAAAGTTTGTTTTGCCAGTGGTTGTAGTTTAGTGAGATTCATTTCCTAAAACAGAAACTCTTGTTAAGCGCCTGGCTGGCATCTAGGGTCAAACTCTAATGCCATGAGGATGGGACCTCTAATGAGCAGCAGTTGGGGGAAAAAGCAGTAATGTTGCACCTGGCACTCACTGATTTAAGGCTGGAAGCAAGTAGGAAAGAAAAGAACCAACCAACCATGTATAATAAACACAGAAGAAAGCGATAAATGTCAATACAGTAAAAGTTAACAGGCATCTGAAGAGAAATGCTTTGTATATTGTGCTTTGTTTTATTTTGTGTAGACTAATTGCTCTTAGTTCAGAGAGCAAATGTCATTTTTAAAGGCTAGAGTAGTAAAGAAAAACAAGCTCACGTTAGCCAAGGCTACCAGAGTTTCTCTGCCTGGCCATTTGGCAATGCAAAGGTCCCCACACTGTCCTAGATCCTGATTCTCCTCACAGTCCCTGCATGGGGACAGATCAGGTGGCTTCTGATTGTTGATGCAGATGCCTTCTCCTTCCCCTTGGCTCCATGGGTGGTTTTGCAATTCAGTAACTCTGCTCTAAATTCTTTAGGTATTTAGAATTCCAGAGAGATGTTCAGTGGCATTTATCTTAGCACCAAGAATAAATATTTGAAAATATGTTACTAAGCACTTACTAGACATGTTTTTTAGTAAGCAGTTCAGTGCAAGAGTGAGCAAATAGATTCCTCTCTTGGTTAACTAGTTATAGTGTTCACAAAAAAATGCCATTTGGAGCAGAGGTGAAAGGAGAAAATGAAACACAAGTTGGGCAGAAGTGTATAGAATATGCTCCTCTGTTATGAAGCATTGAACATTGCAGTTAGGTGGGATCTAGACTGTGTAAGAATTGTTCCCTGTTCAGCAGGCTAAAAGTGGAAGCTGTATAGCAGTTAAAGAGCATTTTGTGTCTAAATTTAAGTGAGATTGAGTTTGTATGTGAGGCTCTGATTTACATTAGACAGGTTAATATAGTTAATCTTTACAATCCAAAGAGGTGTTACATTCACTCCCATTTTACTGATAAAGTAAGTAAGGCTTTAAGTAACCTGTTCAAAAGCACAATGGACGGAGGGAGAGTCTCTGGGGTATGACCTTAATCCTGTCTAATTAAACTGGGTTAAACCAGGCATTGTCAACGGGAGTGAGATCACCCCCAAGGGAGCAAAAACATCCATTCTCTTTTATGTATAAAGCACAGATATACAGTATATCTTTGGTATTAAAATGTCATGGGAGGGGCAATTAGGAAAAATGTCTAATGATGCCCATAAGGGGGATGATAATGAAAAACACGGGGTTAAGCTGTCTCTTTAGAAGGATTTGTTTTTACTGCTTTGATTTTGGTTACATATCCTCACTACTTGGGTTTTGTTTTTGTCCGGCGGTAGTCTACATTAAGAACAACTTAATTATTGTATATCATCTGGTACTTTGTCCCTTCTCCCCCTCTCCCTCTTTACTGGACAATACATAGCATAACAGCATGGCTGGATCCATGTCTTTATTTTCTGCTAGTTCCTGTGAAGGTGAAATTCTCACTCTTCTCTGAGCATTGGGGAAACTGATCTGATTCGGAGTTGATATTTAGGATGTCCCTCGTGTCACAGACATGAGATCTTGCTGAACTCCTCACCTCCCTTCTCTTTGCAGACGGAGAAGAAGTGACTGTCTACAGGCTGGAGGAGAGTTCCCCTTTGAATCTTGATAGGAGCATGTCTTCTTGGTCCAAGCGCGGGAGAACTGCAATTATCCAGGTGCTGTCCCGAGAGGAGATGGACGGCGGCCTCCGCAAGGCCATGCGAGTCATCAGCACCTGGTCTGAGGATGACATTCTCAAGCCGGGGCAGGTTTTCATTGTGAAGTCGTTTCTCCCTGAGGTTGTGCAGACGTGGCACAAAATCTTCCAGGAGAGTACTGTGCTTCACCTTTGCCTCAGGGTAAGTCAGAGCCCCAGAGCCCAGATGGATGGGTCAAGGAAAGGAGATCGAAGGCCATTATCTTCAACCCAAAGGATAGCCTATTCTTTTTTTTGGAGGTGGTGGTATTTTGTTATTTTTGTTGTGTAGAGCTTTTGCTTTTGGAGTGGGGAGTGGTGGGATTCTAATAAGGCTGAACATTACACTTAGAAGGCCTCTAGTAATTCTATGATCATTAATTAGTAGGCATGTGAGAGTAAACCAATATTTTTATCAATGCTCTCTATTTTGTAGGAAATTCAACAACAAAGAGCTGCTCAAAAACTAATCTATACCTTCAACCAAGTGAAACCACAAACCATTCCCTATGCACCAAGGTGAGGAAATATTGGCACCCTGGCCCTTCATGTTAAGTAGGAATTTCTATCAGTTCTTTTCAGCCCTCTTAGCCATGAGGAATACAAGACCCATGGCGAAGTTCCCCAAGACTTTATTGTTGGGCTCTTCTTTCCATAGTTCTAGAGACTGGTAAGAAGAGCATTAGACATCCCAGGGATACTGAAATCACTGCACTTACGTGAGTGGAAAAAAGAAGTTCTCACAGAGGCCATGACTGACCTCTCTATGTGAAACAGGCAGATCCTGGGTGTGGTTACTAATGTCCAGGGACATTATGGCAGAAAAACATTTCTATTTTAAGCATAGTTTCTTCCCCTGATATCGTACAGAAATTAGGAACTTTTTAAGAATGAACTCTTATTATGTTCACTTGAGTGTCTCCATACACTTGCTTTCATCTAGCAAGACAGATCATAATTCAGTGCTCAATCTTACAGTAAAGTTTTATTGTTTCATTTACAAGGAATGTTATAGCACATGGCAAGGAAAGTTGAGTTTGGTACTCATAAAGGAGTTGGAAAGTTTCCTCAAAGAGAAGGGAGGTGGGTAAGCATGGGACTCCCCAACCCCACCTTTGCATTCCATAGAAAGGCAGGGGCGTGCTCACTGAGGCTGCATCGGACCAGAGTTAGGCACTCTCCCCCTCTGCTGACTCTTAATAACCTAAGCCCTGCCTTGGCTGCCTTGTGAGGAATTATGGCCTCTTTTTTCTCCTCATAGGTTCCTAGAAGTTTTCTTAATCTACTATCATTCCGCCAACCAATGGTTCACCATTGAGAAGTATATGATGGGGGAGTTCCAGAAGTACAACAACAACAACGGTGATGAAATTGCCCCCAGCAACACCTTGGAGGAGCTGATGCTGGCTTTTTCTCACTGGACCTATGAGTACACTCGGGGAGAACTGCTGGTTTTAGATCTGCAAGGTGACTGATAGCCTAGGACTTAATACAACAAGCATGAGGCAAAGGTCAAGAAATACTGACCAGGGGTCGCTTTCTCCTTGTCATGGTTACCTACATTTGACCTCAACTCTTTCTTTACTCAAAGCCATGGTTCAAGTCTTTCAGTGGGTTGTTCCATGGCATTCCTTTTTTTCTTTTTTTTAAATTTGAAAACTGAAAGATGGTATTTGTTTTCTGATTTATTTATTATTTGTGAAGCTGTACTAAGTAGGACTAACCAGACAGGTGTCCCAAGAGATCTTGCAAGAACTAGGGTGGGTGATATATGGAGTTGTTCTATCTAGTTTTGAAGGGAGGTGGGGCCATTTATTTCAGACATTGTACAGTGATGATCACGAGTACCTACTATTTTTTTCCACTGAGATCAAGGGAAAAATACAGGCAGATGATTAGTGGCCTAAAATTTAAAGACAACTAAAACTTTGATCTAAACGGAGATTGACTTTTTACACCAAATGTTCCAATTTTATGGCTTTACCTTGGACTTATGTGCACAACAAAATGTAGGCATGCACCTGTAACACACAGGAAAGTTTAATTTCTTAACATTTTTCACGATTTTGAGGTCATTGCTTTAGCAATTTGTAATTTAGCTTGCTCTCTTTTCTGTGGGCCTTGATATGACAGTTCACAAAAGTACAGACTCATTCTGAGAAGGCGCAGTGCACTCTTATTTAATGGAAGGAAGCCTTTGATCAGTGCATCTCCCCTCTATCAACACCTCACATGTGACTTATAATCCTGCAGCATGAAACAGAGTGTCTCTGGCAGGCTTTCCTTTCGGGGACAGAACGAAATATATATTAAGGTCAAAGTTTAGTCCCTGGGCTCACTGCCTGGGGCTTTGGTTTTAACTAAGGGATGTAGCCCAAGAAGTTTCATAGGAGTTATATCATTTAATCCCAGAAGCAGCACCTCAAGGTAGATATTATGGGGAATTTAGGCACAGAAAATTTAAATAACTTGCCCAGGGTTGCACAGCTATTTAATGACAGACTTAAGTTGGTTAGACCATCTGTTCTTTCCTTAATCACGCTGTGGTTCATTTAAACAGATTGGGCCTTTTTCTTGTTTTCTCTGACTTTCCCACCTGTCCAGTCTTGGGATTCTGTGCCGAAAGCCAGGCTTGCAGACTGGGGAGAGTCGAGATGGGCAATCCTGGGGCATTGTTAGCAATGTCTAGTAAGACTGCAAAGCCGGTTTGATTAAAATTTGTGCCAAGTGCTCAAGGAGTGTATCTACTTTTTAAACTACACATAAGTCCTTCTCTCCTTTCAGATCTGTGCTGTTCACAGGTTATACTTCTAACCCTCAAACACAATATTTTAGGAAACAGTGTAAACACAGTTAAAACAGTCAAGAAGATTCATCTTTTAAACCAGTAAGTACATGACCCATGTAAACCCAGCATGTGGATGCCCAAGGCATCTGCTTTTGTAGCTTATGTTGGGGAGAGGTTGATGGTTTTCATCTGCTCTTGAGTGTCTGTGCTTTGAGTTTTGGGTGGAGTTGTTTAAAAAGAAAGAAAAAAAAGAAACAAAACCAAAAAACAACCAAAGAAAAACTTTAAGGAATTAATGATGACTCTTATTGTGTTTTGTATTCCACTTGAATAGGTTTTTGTTTAATGATATTTCTGTTTGGGGATTTTTATGTCTCTTAGTAATCCAAAGTGACATTAAACAGAACAAATGTCATGTTGGTCATCTTGGGGGAAAAAGGAATTAACTTTATTCTTTTACTGGGCAATTATGTGACTTGCAGAAATAGGCCACACCAAATAAACTATGTCAAAACACTGACCTTCAAAGAAGGGAAGAAAGGACATCATAGAGAGAGTGTGAAGACATTGAGATTCTTATTGGAGAGTTTTGGCCAGTTGGTTAGGCCTGAATTTATAGAAGAACACGAATCCTATAACAGTAATTATAAGCAGTTATATTACTAGTACCACTAGCTAACATTTACTAAGTACTTATTTTGCTCTAGACATTTGGCTAAAGGCTTATGCATTATCATATTTAATCCAAACCAGGTTGGAAAGGAAAAAGGGGAAGAGCTTAATGTTTTCTTAAAGTGTCTTAATGGTTTTGAGTTCAGTCGTGTTGATCAGCATTTCCCGTCTTTGGGGAGATGACATGTATCATCTGGATGGTAGGGAACGGCGAGTGAGAGGCCGATGGCAGCAGTTAGGAGGAGGAGCTCGGGGTTGCGGCAGTGCTGGCTTCTGACCCCTGGCTTTACCGCGAGTTAGCTGCGTGATCAGAGGGTGACCACTTGAGCCCCACCTTCCTTCATTTGTAATTGAGGAAAATAATATGCAATTAATTCCTAAGATTGTTAAGGGGTTGACATGAGACAAGATCCTGACACATAGGAAGCCCTCTGTAAGTGTTGTTGTTAGTATTAATCTCTGCGTGGCTCTTGCAAATGGAAGTTAATCTTCAGCTGTGAGTAGTCTGTTCTTAGCTATGTGGGACTGCAGAGAGACCCCAGCTTCGGTCTCTGCAGAGTGAAGCCCCGATCAGCTTGCTGTGGCTTCCTATTGCTTTGAGGGAAAGAAGGAATGAGGTACATTCTGGCAGTTTATTTTTTTCTTCCCCTCTCTCCTTCCTTCCAAGGGATTGCCAGTAATTAACCCAGGAGCTGCCACACCAGGCCAGGGGGCTAAATTCTAAAGAGAGGCTTGATCAGTTTCCAGTCTTGTAATTATACTGTAGTTTTTATTCTCTTTCCATTTAAAAATCCTACATGTGAGGGCCTGAATCATCATCATTACACTTGAAATCCTACTTTTAATTCCCTGCAATGGGAATGAAAAACAATTGCATTTCAAATGACAGTGGTCGGAGCAATTTTTAAAAGCTCATTATATTTTTCAAAGAACTTTTGAAGATATTAGATTTTTTTTTTCCATTGGACAAGGCAGTTTCCAGAATAAGTCCACATTAGCATCAACATCATCATCATGAAATTCTACTGCTACAAAGATGGTAACTTCTTTCCGCAAATGTAGAGGTTCCCTGATGTGTCCCACGGTAGTT